ACACACGACTGTAACCCAATCTGGATCAGGTGCCGTTTCAACATCGACAAGACAAATCTGTTTTAATGGCTTTGGATCATCCTTCCAATGTATGGTCATGCAAATCATAAAAACTTGATCCTCTTTATATTTCGCCATAGGTACGTCACCTATCTTACGACTACTATATGTTTCTATATCCCAGGTGAGCACAAGAGTTCGATCGTGTATGAGAGCTGAAGATACTATTTGCTCATCTGGCTTATTATCCTCTAAAGACTGAAAATTATTTACAGATACATGGAAATAATAATGTGATAAATTTGTATTTGATATGTAATTATAATTGCTTAATACGGCCCACTCAGAGAGGGGTAGTCTTTCGTCACGGCTACCTTTCGATAATAATAAACATTAGTGATATCATCTGATGCTGTTTCAATATTATGCTTATGAACCTCTTTTAAAATTCGTGTTCTATCATAATGATTCCATGTAATAATACGAATATATGCCTTTTTCTCAGTATGGTAACCACGAATTGGATACGCGTGGGTGATTTTCATTCCAAATTTTGATTTATCAATCTTTTCCGCCCCTGATATAATTTTTACTAATCTTAGTTTGAATATAGATAAAAGTTCGTTATCAGGCATAACGACATTGAAGAAGGGTTTAATATCTGTAATGTCTACCCTAGCCTTTTCCCTATTAATCAAAGTGCCGTGAATACGTAGAATATATGTCGATACATTTTTTATATACTCAGTGGCATCACTCACATCATTAGGCATGAAGTATATAAGCTGTTTATCAGATAAACTTTGTTGAAGTATAGCTATTAACCCATTATCACATTCTGAAATAATATCACTGCGAGATGGAATTTCTACTATGGTTTCCCCACCCCTGTACCACGTTTGTTGTGCGTTTTGTTTGCTCATTTTTGGTATTTGGTTTTTTTATACTATAATAGATTTGGTGGTATATTATTCGCAAGAAAAAAGTTTAAAATGAAAATTAATTCCAGAGTATAATTATCAATATCTTTATCAACTAGTATATAGATATGGCTTTTTATCATTGCCCCTTATTCTTAGGACTGGAGAAGTTTGCAATCGAGAATGCTATCTGCCTGAGGGGTGTAAAGTTCATTGGGATGCTCCTACGTGTATACCTTGCAAAGAATATGGTGAGTTAACATTTTCTTCTTACGACTATTGTGATATCCATGCTAAAAAATATCGGGCAAGGTTAGGAAATTATAAGAAAAAGCTCAAGAAGCTTGGCCAGATACAAGTGTAGTGAACACAATTTAAAAAATATATATCAAGGTGAAGCTAGCTGCGTAATATATATAATAATTCTGGCATAAGGCTTCACTTTTTGATAGCATGTTTTCGGGTATGCTTTGGGTATATGGTAAGGTGAAGCTAACAGCGTAATATATATAATAATTCTGGTATAAGGCTTCATTTTTTGATGATATATTTTTGATATGTTCTCGAGATATATGATTGATGATATGTTTTTGGATAGATCAAGGTGAAGCTAACTGCGTAATATATATATAATAATTCTGGCAGAAGGCTTCACTTTTTAATAATATATTTTTAGATATGTTTTTGGGGTAGGAAACTTCAGATTTATTCATAGTTATACACACGCCTTCTTACATATATCATGAATAAAATCGAGTTAGATAACATGTTTTTAACATAGGCGAAATCGGGGTATAGTTCTAATGCTAACTAGTATCAAAAATTCTGGCAATCGAAATCGGCATACATATTTGGTAGCAATAATCAATAGCATAACCAAATAGCATGTATATAGCAAACCCGATAGTATTTGCGCGATATATTTCATATACATATTTGATAACATATACCTGATAACATGTCTCGATAGCATAACTCGATAACATAATTGATAGCACTCGATAGCATTTCCGTGATATATTTGCCTTCACAAACGATATACAAATTGCAATCAGGTTGTCAAACTCGTGATAAAGCCAAGTGTGATGATGTGAATATAAAATTATTGTCATATTTCTTATAGATCATGAGGTATCTAAGTGTGATGATGTGAATACAATTACGTCGTCATATTTTTTATAGATCATGGGTACCTAAGTGTGATGACGAACTCGTGAACCAATCGTCACTCGAATGACGATGCAAGCGTGAATCATTCGTCACTCAAATGATGGAGCGAATACTAATATATCTCTGATGACGCAAGCGCGAATCGTTCGTCACTTGAATAACGGAGCGAATACTAATATATCTCTGACGACGCAATCACGAATCATTCGTCATTCGAGTGATGATGCAAACATGAATCGATCATCATTCCCATAAGTAGGTAACAACCTAATGTAAGTAGGTAACGTTATATATATAACGTTACCTACTAGTGGCATCATTAAATGGTTCTAACAACTCAATAATTTGCTTTAATAGATCCTATTCATGTGGTAAAAAAAGTAAGTTTTTTAGTTTTTGACCATCAGCTCGATCATTTGAATTATCAGATAAAGGTAACATTAAATATAACTATTCAATTGCTTTATACAATTTAAGTAGCCATTTCTATGAATGGAATTTTGAATTCTATCTAGTTTTTTATTTTAGCTATATTTTGTAAAACAGATTGTTTAAAATCTATAACATTTGCTAACTGTGAACTATTTGAATTCCTATTATCAGAATTTAATATATTAGTAGAATCACCATTACTTTAAATTTGTTGTGCTTCATTAAGATGTTTATTTTGCTTTGGGGACTTAGTGAAAAATTTAATTAATTTTTTTATTTTTTTAATATAAATATTTTTATTTTAAAAGCATGAGCATATCAGCAAAAAAAATAGGCCAATATATATTGATAACTAACCAGGTAGATATTTATTAATACTAATCACCCCTGCCAATACTCAATGGTATGAATATATATCGATATATAGCATATTCAATAGGTAGTGATATTCAGATAATTATTGATATATAGCATATTCAATTCATATTGAATATTGTATTTATTCGATACTTATCTACTCTGCTGTTAACAATTGAATATAATATTTATCAATATATAGCATATTTGCTAGCATATACTTTAAGTGTAATAATATAAATTATCAACTATTGTTTAAACTACAATATTGTATTAGAAACTATTTTTATTTACAAATTTACCAATTCAATTTAAAGCAATTATATATATTTATTAAGCAATAAAAACAATTTTATTAAATTGCAATATAATACATTTATTACAATATAAAATAATACAAATTTAAGGATGTAAAAAAACTAATATTAATTGACTCCAAATAATTCGTCTATCTTATTTTGAGAAAGCATCATTGATGAAGAACTTCAAGAGGCGGTTGCAAGCACAAGCTTAGGTTCAGATGAGGATTGCCTTGATCGTTTATTCTGGGAATGACCTGCAAGTTTATCAGTCATGATTGCTTTCACCGAACTATAACTAAGGCTATCATTTTCAAAATCCACCTGTTAAAATAAAATATATATTAATAAATTTTTTTATTGATATAAAATACTATGCAAAAATACTTACCAAGTATTGATTCATGTGAGCTTCATAAGCTTATCCTTGTATAAAACATTTTTGGATCAGAGGTTCAACAAGATGTCGCACACTGCCAACATAAATGCATAGTGATGGTTTGTCAGAGTTAGCATGGCAACCATACTGAAAGCAGATCTTGCGATAATCAAAACTCAAAATACCCCTTCATTATTTTGCTCAAAAAGAGTATGATAGTATTTGTTGACTTGCAAACTTTCCTTTCACCAAATTATTTTGGCTGCACTAGCAGTACTTTTAAGAGGTGGCAATTTTTCGTAATTAAATACTTTCTAAATTAAAGATCATACATTTTGTAACATAGCTCTACGATGGTTTTTGATCTTTTGTAAAAGCTAATAAATAAAGAAATGAAAGTTAGTATATTAAAGTAAAAAAAAACAAATAAAATAATTTTAAACCAGCAAAAAACAAACCAAAATTAAATGGTTAAAACTAATAAGATACAAACATATATATATTTAAGTAAAGATATTACATACTTGACTACACCAACTTCTGTGAAAATTGTTAGTGAACTTATTTTTACTAAGGTTTGACATATACTCAGAAAAGTTTTTATTAAGATAGCCTTTGAGAGCTTTCTTTAGTATACTTTAAGTGGTATAAACATGTAACAAAAAAAGATGTTTGACAACATCTATATATACGTTTTATGAGAGTTTTATAATAGCTTAAAAAAAGACCAAGTACTATACTATATTATACAAACGAAGTATTTATATCCAACACCTTCAAAAAAAAATCTTTTTTGCATTCATTCTTTAAACGCTTAAGTTTATTATTTAATTTGTTAAGTTTTTAGCCATTTTGCTTTACTAAAAAATAAAGCTACATGTTTTGCTTGAATATCAGCTTGTCATCTTTTCTTTAATAACTGATGCGTTCTTATATTTATTGTAAAAAAAAAAAAAAAAAAAAGTTTCAAAAAAAAAAATAAATAACCCAACTAAGGAACAATCTAGAGATTTGGTGATCAAAAAAAACAACTTATATACTGTACCATTATGATCGTGTAGTTGTTCCTGATTCAGTCATTATTGATCTCAGAATCAAGATTTAGATTATGCTCGGGATCCAGATCTAGATTGCACTTGGGATCCAGAACTAGATTGCATTTGAGATTCTGATCTAGATAGTGCTCGGGATCATAACTTAGATCTTCTTTCTCTTTCTTGCGAATATTGTGGCAGTGGTAATAAAGATCTATTTCGTTCGCTAAAACGTGATAGTGTTTAGCTAAGACAATATTCAGATTGATATTCAGTTTTACATTCGTTAGTTTGGGAAGATTGATATACAACTGGGGTACAGTCAGATTTTTGCGATTTTTTACCTTTATTGCTCATTTTTAAAAAAATGCTCTATATACTAAATATGCTATTGTCAGAATCATCATCATCATTATATTTATTATTTAATAGCTGATAACAAGGAGTATTCAATTGGTATTAGTTTTGGTCAATGCCAACAGTCAGATATGAAGATAAGTTGTAGTTCAAAAGTGCATTGTTATAAGGTAGATTGGTATAAGAGATGTTCGGTGTATTATAAGGTGTGTTGTAAGGTGTATTATAGGAATTGAAATAAGGAGAGTTGTGTAGAATATTGTTATATAGTGTAATGTATAAAGTGTTGTTGCAAGGATTATTGTTGTTAGAATTATTGTTAGCAGCATTGATAGATGTATAAGAAGTGTTGTTGAAGTGATAGTAGGAGTGATGTTAAGAGAAGGATTGTTAAGAGGAGAATTATTAATAGGAGGATAGTTAGAAAGAGAATTGTTAGTAGGAGTGTTGTTGAGATGAGTGTTGTTGGTAAGAGTGGTTGAAATGTTGTTAGTAGAAGTATTGAGAATATTGTTGTTAGAAGCTATTTTAAAATTAAACTTTTAAAATTTCAAATTTAAAATTTTAAAATGTTTTTACCTTTTCAAATTTCAATTATTTATATATAAAACTTTGAGAAGAATGATGATATTAATCATTATATATTATAAAAACTGAAAGCAATATTTCATTCATTGTGTTTGGTCAACTTATTTTATTTTTTTTTTTTTAACTTTGATAACCTCGCACAAATTTATTAGATGTATGTAAGTTTAAACTATCTAAATTCATATT